GACGCCCGACGGCGTCTGGTGGCCGGCGGTATACCTTCCGGTTGCCGTTGCCGTTGCCGTACGCTTGTAGAGAACACATCCCGTCCTATCCGCCACGCACGCACAAACTCCCGCAAACTGAGACCGACAGACGCAAACAAACAAAGACACCACAACCGAACCGACCCCGACTCTGGTGTGGCATGGCATGGCATGAGTTGAGGCTGGGGTTGGGGTTGGGGTTGGGGTTGGGGTTGGGGTTAGGGTTGGTGTTGGGGGTTGGGGTTTGGCTCGGGTGGCCCCAGCAATCAATCCAAATGATATACACATTTCAGACTTGGTTCAGTTCTCAGCTCAGCTCAGCTCTCAGTTCTCGGCTCAGCTCCGTTTGGTTGCCTTTCGCTGCCTGGTCTGTGTTTGCTCAGGGGGGCCGACCAGCAAGATTTGATGTATTTGACAGATAGACTACGCCGTCAGCCCCTGCCTGTGCCAGTCCTGTGCCTGTCCTGTGATTTTTTTATGGCCGGATGGGACTGTGTGGAGTTGTGGTGGTGTGGCAGTGTGGACCGTGGACAATATGTCTCAGTCTCGGCCAGAGGCGGCGTGAGGAATGGCTCTGTGGTCAGCGGGCATCTGACTTCGCACTGGATTATTGATATTTAAATGGCAGCCGAGCAAATTGCCTGCCATCGCTCGGCTGTTTGCCTTTGGCCAAAAGTATGCTGCGAGTATGTGTAAATTGTGCTTATATATTATGCTAATGCTGGTTGTTCAGTGCTTATATGTAAATTTGGCATTTGGGTGTATTAAAAATGCATTAACCTTCTGCCGAACCTAGCTAGGCAGACCTAGCTAAGGCAGGACCTAGCACATCACATAGGGATTTAATTCAATTAGATGTGGAGCAGCTGTCCCTCGTATCACCATCGCCATCACCCCAATCCACTTGACACAAAGTCATCATCCGACCGGGCTCGCATCTAATTAAAATAATGATTACCCCCAACCTCTCCCACCTCCCACGTTTTGTATTCCGAGGTTGTTTTTTGACGGAAATATTTGCGGGGCGTGGCAATTGCGCTGCCGGAAACTCCGGCTCCGGCCAAGGCAGTTTGGCTTTGTCGGCAGCTGAGCGTAACGAAATGCGCATAAAACAGTGAAATTTACAACCAGAAAGAGAAGCCGAGTCCTTCTTAATGTGCCATGGCGAACCGCAGCAGGACAATGCTGGGACACTGGAGGCCACAGACCAGTGCCAGTGCCAGAGCCAGTGGCAGTGGCAGGGGCAGAACCACTGACAGTGCCAGGACCAACTCTCAGTTCTCTCCATTTCTGTCCTTTTTGGGCGGCTTTTGGCCTCATTTTGACCGTTTATTCATTGTGCTTTTTAAGAGCTTCCGTTTCGTCACGCGTAACGCTTTCGAATGACAATGACACGAACATCAAAATCATCAACATTATCTGCACAGCCACACGGAACACGCTTTGGTCCCGATCCGTGCAGGACGACATCGCCCCTTTGAACGTCCACAATCTACAACTTCAAAATGGCGCAAGTATATGAGGGCTCTTCTCTCTCTCTCTCTCTCTCTGGTTAAGCCAACGAGTGAGGTGTTCCTGTCCGGCTTCACGTCCGACAATGTTTGACAACATCTAGGCAAAATGGCGTCGTCCTGGCATGCACGACATGTCGTATGCGTAACATTTACGAGCGTGTTTTTATCGCACTTGACATCATCGCCATGGAGGAGTCACTTGTAAATATTTGTACATATTTTAATGTAAGGCTAAGCACAACTATAAGCACATAAAATTTCATTGCACTCGCCCTCAGACAAGCAAATAAAGACGGACACACCCATACACAGGCACACATACTCATACAGAGTGCCTACGGAAAAGGCAAACAGTTTATATAATTACCCGCATAGCCCCCGCTGCGCTTAACTGATTGCTTTATTATTTTTTCAAGTGTCATGTTTGCAGTTTTAATTCCGACAATAATACAGCAGCTACCGCATAAATATTTACGAGAAAACCAGGAACAAAGCCGCACCCTGAGCCCCACTCGCAGTCCAGTCCCAGTCCCATCTGCAGCAACAACGAATCTCTGCTATAATAACAGTAATAACCGCCAGCGAAGGGCGGCAAAAAATACTCGGCTTAAACACATGCAAATATTATGATAAATAAATTTGTTCACATCATCAACACATTTACTGTGCTGGTAACTTAATTACACGTGCAAACAATTGAATCAATAAGGCAATAAAAAAGACTGAGCTTGCTCGGCCAGTATCTGCTGCTAATTGAAGCTGATTGGAACTGCTCGAAAGCGGAGGACTGGCCCAAATACTTAGTTGGGCATTTGAAGTTGCTTCAAAAGCCACCTACTGAGCACACATAATTCGAATTAATCGAGCATATTTTGGTTGAATATATGCATTGAGGGGAGGAAGCCCGAAAAGCACAAATTGATTTGAGTTCCGTATCAAACTGTAATCTTGAGCGGGGACTGGGACATATACTGGAATTGGTAATTGGGTCTCACACATACGTGGCCCAGAGTGATGGTAAATGCAGAGGGAAACGGCAACATTTTAATGCCACTCAATGTGGCATGCCAAATGAGCAGCGACTGTGACTACGATTGCCAACTGATTTTTGTAATTGCCACTTGTCGTGTCAAGCGACTGTGTATAAATCAAACGAGTGCCAGTGTCATGTGCATCCTCTTTTTTATATACTTGTACACAGTAATACTCGTATTTTTCCCTTCTTTGCCACCCACATACAGGAGCAGTTCGAGTGTTGCATGTTCGATTTTTTCGGGCAGGTGCAATGACGCATAAATTCCAGCCAAGTGGCTCAGTGAATTTCATGAATGGGGATGCGAGTGGGATGGAATTGGAACTGGAAATGTTGCAACATGAATGAGTGAAGGCGGCGCTATAAATAAATTCTTTGTGCATACATTAATAAATAAAAGAGGTCCCACCACTAATCACTGCTCTGATTTATTTGAATTGGCCACAGAATTTATGACAAGATTTGGCATTGCCACCAGTTTCAAATCCATGTCTAATTTTAAATGGAAATACATACCGTCTCCCTGCCGCCTCTTCTGACCGCAATCGTATCAACTCAACTCAAGTGTATCGAAATGAGTTTCGGCTGATTTGTCCCACTCTGCCTTCCCATTCGACATGGAGTCGAGTCGGGTCGCGTCGCAGTCTTCTCCAAAGGCTGTGACATTTCATTCGCTGCCAATTAGAAGCCAATTTCACGCGTCGCTCTCGCACCCTACAAAGGCCATAAATTAGGGTGTACCCCGACTCCTGCCTGACTGCATCCGACTTAAACGATTTAAGACTTAAGACACCGGCCCACCTAGTGTGCATTTAATTGTGAAGAAGCAAAACTTGCTTTTTTTAAGCTGTTGAACTGGTAAAAGATATCGTAATGGTTATAATTATTAAGTAGGGAGGAAAGCATCTGTGAAAATATGTATGTTGTAGTGGTCATACGAATAGAAAATAATTAACAGCGATATATTAACAAACCTGGCCGCTTAGGAGCGGTCCAAAGTAGGTAAAAAAAATAATCCGATATTAAGTTTACTTGCGCTTTATTTGGATGATTACCTAAATTAGGTTTGTCTGTTACTATTTCCTATGCTAAATTTAGAGCTCTGATGAGCGACAATTCAATGGGCTTACAAAAAGCTTCATGTCGAAAATGGAGATACCGCAATTAAGCCAACATTGAATTAGGCCATCAATCATATTAACTTGGAATTTGTGACAAAAAATACAAACATACTCGAACAAATGCACACGCACACTTTCTAAGCATGCACTGGGAATGCGCAGGCCGTGTCAGAGAGTGACAAACGAATCAATAAGTTCAGAAAGGGCAAAAGTCAGGCGAAATAGTTGGAAAACTGCATTGGCCCAGACACATTTCGAGGGCTGTGACGTTTGATTGTCAGATTGGATCATTTTTCAATACATTCAGCCCGCCCATGACTTTAATTCTAATAAGTTGGGCAGCCTAATTTATGATGGGACATTGAAAAGACGAGGCTTCTCGCCTGGCCCTGAGCTGGCGATAAATTTACAGTTTCCAAAACGTTATTAATTGCTAATTAGCCCCGAATATGATTAATGCGGCCTGTTCGTTGATGCCGGGGAATTTACAAAGCAAACTCAACCCAAACCGAGGTCTCAACCGATTCGGTTACTCCAGCACAGCGAGCGGCAGCCACGTGTGACTTTCTTTCGGCCGAGTTGAGCGTGAAACTGCCATGTAATGTAATTATTGCAAAACTATTCATCATGCTGAGGTGCTTCCCTCAGGCTCAGGCTCTTGGGTGGCAGCCACTTAGTTGCGGCGCTTTTGTCCCGTCAAACGCGGCGTATGAGCAATGCGGCCCAAAACCACTCACCCACACTCACATTTGTACGTTGACTGGCTTGTGGCTACGGCTACGTGAGAGGTTAACTAATTAGCATGTCAAAGCCATCCATATGCTGCGGCCTTGCTGGGCCGGAAACAATTTCAAACTGTTACCCCAAGGCGCAAATCCCGTTTAATTATGCCTTACATTCATAATCCTTTTCCATGTTTTCCATTCCCAAAAACACCAGTAACTCTTAAGGAGACACAGACACCCACACGTACGTGGATCAACTATCTATTTTGATTAATCCATTGTCAATGTCTCCAGCTCGGAGCCAGGAAGCAATTTGCTCTCAATGGGCCTCATGAAAGGGTTTGTCGTTGTTTTCGTTAAATAGAACGACCAGTCACAATATAAATTTTAATTAAATTAGCCAAGGGTTAGACGAGCAGAGGGAGAGCAGAGCCCATTAAGTCTATGGCAATATGTGGAAGATGTGAACAATGAATTTTCACTGCCAAATTTCGGTCCGAGAAAGTCCTCAAGAAGTTACGACCGCAAAAATTGCCTGTAAATCGCTATTTTCACATCGAATTAGAAAAATTGAATACGATCCGGATCAATATGGCTCTCAGAAGGGGTTGGGGCTCAAGAGACAATATATTTAATGCAATACGTGGCCTATTCCATCAAACTGATTATTTTTTCCTATTTTCAGCCCGATTTGCTTCGATGACGATGTCGCAGCTGTAGTCCGTACCTATGGTCCTTGTGCCTGTAGATGGGAGTCGGTTTGCGGGGAGCCTTGCGCACACAGCGATTGTCTTTGGCGTGGACCTCGTAGGGGCGACATTTTCGTCCAGACTCAAGCTGTCTGCCCGGCAGGATGACAAATTTACGCGGCCGATTGTGACCTATGACCTTTGGCCGACCCATCTGAGTCCTGCCCTGGATCTGGTCGGTGCGCGGGGCCAGCGCCGGTTGTGGCGCCGGGGCACTGACGTGAGAGGCGCCACCGCCGCCACCTCCACCACCGCCACCGCCACCGCCACCTCCACCTCCACCACCACCCACAAAGCTATCCGACTTGACCACTTGATCGCCTTGTAGTTTGCTGTGGGAAGCCGGGACCCGGAAGCTCTCTGCTTGACGCGGGGCCTCCGTCTGCTGGCTGCACCCAGTAGCCGTCAAAATCTCGTCCGCATTGCAGCGAACGTGTTTCCCTATCCCAGCGTCTTTCTTGGCATCATCGAGATCCTCGGCGACCCAGGTGCGCAGTAGGACGCGCTCCAAGTAGCCCTCGCGATCAACGCAGCCTTTGTTCTCAGTCAGAATTTGGGTATTCTTGCAGACCGCTCCTGAAACTGTGTGGACAGTGAAGCTCACAATCAGCAGCAGGCAACCCAAGCTAAGTTGCCCAGACCCCATAACTATCCGGTTGAGGAAGATATTGAAGACTGTTTTAGGCACGATCGGGATGGATATTACATCGGTATTAGCAGTAATCAGGTGTGACAAACCAATTCGACCCGGCCAGCTGTGGTGTATGCCAGGGCTAGTGAGACATCTTTGAGGCACGGTAAGGGTGCGGAAGCTGATCTGTTCCAAGGTGAATCCATTTCCAGGGAATTGGAATTTTCGCAATTTTCAAGGCGCTGAGGTGGAGGATGCTGCCGCTGCTGTTGTTATTTCGTTTTGCAATCTCAATTTCCCCCACAATAAAATTAATGTTTTACGTAGCCAATTCCGAATCGTTTATTTCACATAAAAATGCGATAAATAAGCGGGGCATCCTGTGCGACGCCGTCGAAGACGCCAAGGATAAGCCTTTGCTGTGGCTGGTGTGGGCGTGGGAGTGGGTGTGGGCGTGGGTGTGGGTGGGTGTGGTGGTGCACGTTGTGGTGCTGCTCGTTGCGCACCTCCAGCATCGTGTATTTATAGCGCAAACAATGCAAAGGATGTTGTGCAAGGACATACGCGCCGGATTAAAGCGGAGCAAGAGGAACTATGAAAAAGCGGGCTTACGAACAAAAACCATGTCTGCTCGCTCGCTCGCTCTCGCTGTCGCTCCTGAAAACAGGAGGGAGAGGCGGAGGGAGCCGGGCTGAGACCAGGAGACAAAAGCTGTTTCAGCTCCTACGGCGCTGCTTATGGTGGAGGAGGACGAGCCCGATCCCAAGCACGAGCACGAGCAGGAGTCACAGAAGAGGAGTCGCAACAATGGAGGGCCACGTGACGTGACCCCACCGAAATCCTTGCCGCTCGGGCACTCTTTTTGCGGCTGCTGGTAAAAATTTCATGTTAATGGCCACACGAAGATTCGCTCTTAACCCTTTTGCCACGGGGGCGTGTCTGTGTGCGAGTGTGTCCGTATTGGCCTGTGTGTGAGTGTGGAAGTGTGCGTAACAGGTCATTGTCCTGGCATTTTCGGTCGCACCTTTATGGCGGGGACAAGGCAGCTTGTTTCCTTTGGCCGTCCTCTGCAAATTTCATTTCAAGCGTCGCCTTTGCCCTCTGCCGCTCCTGACAGAAGGAAATTGCTTTAATTAAGGATATCTTGCGAAATGTTTGCTCATATTTATAACCCCCCCAAATGACAACGCAAGGCAAAAGCAGGGCCGGTGAAGACAAGTGAAGGCAAGGCAAGGAAGAAAGGTGAAAAGTAAAAACTAGAAAAAGGTGCGCAATCAAAGGCGGAAAATCGTTAGAGAATAAAATCGAAATAACAAAGCGGCCACAGGAGAGAGATAGCGGAAAAAAGGAGCCAAAGACAAGGACATAATGCGCTTTGGCCGCTGCTGTTGCTGCCCCAAACGGCCCCCGACCTGCCCCGTCCCGGCCTGGGCAGGGAACTAGACGCTCGCTTCGCTCTCGATTCGGTGTGCTTTTTTCCCCGTGTCCTGCGGACATTTTCGGTTTGGTTGTAGCCCAGCTCGGCCACGGCCCCTCTTGGCCTTCTGTTTTTCTTCCTTTGGTTCGCCGCTCCGCCGTCTGCTGCTTTGACTATTTGCCATCTTGCCTGCTTCATTTGTTTGTGTTTGCTTGTCAGCGCTTTGGGTATTTTGCCAGGATAATAAGATAAAAGCTTTAGTGCCATTTGGGCCAAGTTAGTTAATTGCGTGAATGGCAGTCGGGTCGGGACCTATCTCTCTATTCTCTCTCTGTTCTACTGTGCTTCTGCTACTTTTATTTCGATTGAATTCTGCAACGGAATTGGGTGATTAGCCCATGGATGTGGAGGTGAAGGTGGAGGTGAAGGTGGACTTCAGCAGAGACAGGGAATACTGGTAATCCCTCCACGAATCCGGTTGCATCCTCAAGCCCCTCATCTTTTATTCAAGACGCAACAATGACAAGTAAAATTTCACCAATGGAGCACAAGAAATTCATGCAAAACACTTTGATATTCATATGGTTGTAGGTGTGTGCATATATGTATGTATGCATATGTATGTGTGCATGGGCACATAGTAGTACATAAATTGTGTTGTGTTGTGCTGTGCTGCGCTGTTCTGTGTGTGTGTGTGTGTGTGTGTGTTGCGTCTCCTGCCTCCAGTTTCGAGCGAAAAACAACAAATAAACATGCACGCAGGCAGCAGTACCGTTTCAAACAATGGCAACACAACACAACAACAACAACTAGGAATTGTTTTTGCCACACACCGACACGCACTTGCAGGGCCGCCTAAATGTTCATGAATGCCCCATGAAATATTAAATGTTTATGAATTTCAAAGGACCCCTTACTTCATTTGCATAATCCTTGTGTTTGTCGCTCTCAGGATGTGGCCAAGTGTCGCATACGAGAATCGTTTGCCCCGACTCCTTGCACTGGTATGGTATGGTATGGCATCAGGACGGAGTCATCTCTCTTCAAGAGTTCCCCAAGTTCCTTTAAGGCGTTCGTTTGCCATCTAATTGTTGGTTCTTCTCGGGCTCTGTTATCGCTCTTTCTGCACCCAGTGCTTCTAGTAGTTTCCCATTTTCCATTTCCCGTTTTCTGTTTCCCAACGCCCAAAGCCCAACTGCACGCAGCAGCTCGATGGGAGTTCAATGTGGGCCAGCCAGCTTCTTGGGGCACGTCCTGGCGCTTTTTATTGCTCCTGGTGCATACTTTATTGCATCCGCTTCCTGTTGCCATCTCGGCTGCATACTACTTGCCGGCTAATTCATGTTAACATTTTTGCCTCTCCTCGCCATTGTTATTGCTCTTGTTCTCGTTCTCGTTCTTGTTGGTTGTTGCAACTGCTGCTTCCTCTCCTGCTGCTGCTGCAAGCTGATTGCACTTAATTTGCATAGAAATCGGGGAAGAGGGAAAAAAGCGTCAACCTTCTTATCGAGCAGAGACTGTTTCCGTGGCTTAATTGCCATTCGGCCGGACTTGGCCGTATTTATGGGGCCAGCTTAGGCCTTGTTGCCAGTGGAATTAATTACCAATACAATTATCACACTGTAGGTCACTCCACACATACTTTACACTGCCTTGGCCAGTGGAGCGGTAAGAATTTATGACACAATGGCCCTGCCAAAACAAGAAATTAAAACTTTGCGACCCGCACTCGCACTCGCAGAACTTTTCCGCACACGCATGTGGCGCGGCGCAGTGAAAAATTTATTAAACCGACTGCAAATTAGTGCACAATTGCAGCCACACACACTCACAGGCACTCACAGGCACGCACAGGCAAAGTTTTTACAAAAAGTTACAGAATAGGGGAAACAGAAAAGAAAAGCAAAAGGCTGCAGCATAAATCAAGGCGCCTGCATCGGGGCCTGCCGTTAAATAATGTTGCCAATTGGCTAAATATTTCCGCCGGATTGCTGCTCTGCTCTAATTTCCACGATATTAAATAGAAGTGGCGCCACGCCCGAAAATAAAAGTAACGCCAGACAACAATGCCTAAGTGGAGACATCCCTCTTGTTCGCTCTGCTCTGCTGTTTTCCTTTTTCATTGTAAAATTTTAAAACAATTGTTATAAATTCTATGTGCTTTTTTGTGCCGCGCCGCCTTGTTTGGCGCTTGATAAATGCAGACAATTAGCAAAATGGTTGACTGGCGCCAGCTTCTGCCAGACCAGAGCCATCCCCGGTGCCCGGACAGAGAGTCTCCATCCGACTTGACTACCCGAAAGTTACTCTACTTTATGCTGTTCGGTATTGCCAACTTTCTGACACGCATCGTGCGAGTAGTCGCAGATCCTTCCGATGGGAGGAGCAGGCGGAGGAGGGGGGCCTGCTACTCGTATAATTATTACGTCAGTTGCTGAAGGTGCTGTTCATGATTATTTATGAATTCCTTGTGCCACCTAATGCACTAATTGCCAGTACACAGACGCACAAATACACAGATACACAGATACACAGATCATCTCCATTCGCCTCGAACTGGTGTGGGTTCCGTCGTCCAAGCCAGACAATTTTCGACAAATAAATCCCCACATGATGCCATGTGCCAAGGCAGCATTGTTATGGAGAGGATAGCTTCCAACCCGGAGGAGTCCCACTTGGTGCATTGTTATTTCCGTTCCATGCACGACACAGAACAGCAACAAGCGGAAATAGCTTAAAGGATATTGCAACTGTATCGGGTACCAAAAACGTAGAACGAGTGGAGCACAGTGCTCGACTAGATGAGTGAACGGAGGAAAAGCCAAAGCAAACGCAGAGGAGAGGAGAGCAGTGCAGGACCGTAAGGAGCACGGATATGCGTTGTCGTATATGCAAAACTATCAATTTTTAGTCAATGTGTATGCAAAACCACACTCCGAGAGAAGTTTGCCAGTAGGAGAAAGGGAGAGACACCCATACGAAGCACGAGGAAAGTGTAATTAGAATTGAATATGCAGACAGCCAGCCCGCCAGCAGGGGATATGAGTTCTCCACACAGATCATGAAACGGCCCTGTCGTCTCACTAATTATTGACTTTGCTAATTGGCAATTTATAGGAAATTGTCTTCAGCCACAAAAGTTTGGCCCCAACAGCAATTTCCTTTAGGTACTCGACTCGTATCCCTTCGCCGCCACCCGAGCTGCAGTTTAAAGGCATCTTCTTTGTCTGTTTACTTTCGATTGGAGCCTGAAAGAGTTGGACAAACTTATCGTCAAACGCTCTTGATATGCGTAAACAGCATTTAAGTCTTTTGACACGGACCGGATGCGGAAAAGGACATGGGCACACACAGCATACACATACATATGTACATATCTACCGGAATATGTCGTCGTCGGGTAACGAAGACAAATTGTCGAAACTTTTTCAGCTGCCTAATTGAGAAGAAAATTGAAAATTTCTTTAATGGAATGCAAAAGTGACGCAATAAATTATCAATTCTGTCCCTAAGAATAAGACACTCCTAACGCAACTCAACTCCCATCCGGACACATATGCACGTTGCAAAAAGTGAACTGTAGATTGAAGAAAATGCTGGAAAAGTCACTGACTGCAGTAGCAGAGGCAGCAGT